ACTGGCATTATCAGGGCCTTGAAAACGCATAGCTTGGTTCTTCTGCACAGGTACAGGCATCTCCAAATACTCTTGCCGAGATAGTTCATGACCCCTGCTGCCAGGCCAATCCGTCTGCTGACTTCCTGGTATGACAGCCCAGAGTTATGAACTACACTACCAAGGTATGTAAAGCTCTCTGCGACCTCAATGTCCTCGCCGCAAGCATGTATCGACCGAACAGGTTCTCCTAGCAACATCAGCAACGTCAAGGACAGTAACGTTGCTTTGTACAGTAGCTCTGCCCTGTATCCAGTCCATGCAAGTGTTGAAAAGTGTTGGAACAAGGACACAGCCTTGCCTCATTCCTGAAATAACAGGAAAGAAGCTCAACAGGCCCCCACCACACTTTACAGCACTTTCAGTACCAGTATACAGGCTTGCTGTTAGTCCAATAATCCTTGTTGGAATTCCTCTTAATCTCCCAGAGTGATTCCCGATGTACCGTATTAAACGCCTTCCTGAGGTCGATGTAGGCTGCAAGCATCCCATGACGGCGCTCTACAATGACTCGAAGTGCAAGGATACGGTCAATTGTGGACTTCCCAGGAGTAAATCCAGATTGTTTCGGCCTCTGATGCCTCAGTAGATGGTCTGATACGTCTTGGTAATGATGTGGGCAAGAACCTTGCCTGGTGTACTGAGCAGTGTAATGCCTCGGTGATTGCTTGCAGTCCTCGGCCCCCCTTCCCCCTTCCAGAGAGGGATGACCACACCCCTCAACAATTCATAGAGAACAGTACTGGACCGCCAGATGGCAGCACTACCCGCATCCAAGTTAACTGTTGGTGGGTCAACCTGGTACAACTGCTCAAAATACTCAGCCAGATGCTAGCTACAGTCTCAGTACCATTATACGCTCATCCTCCTGAAGGATGGAATCTGCTGGAGATGGCTATGGCTTCTCCCCAAAGATGACCATCACTGTGGCCCGACCAGTAGGTTTAACCACCAGGTTTTCTCACCTCCGAGAGAGCAGCCACCTCTACCCTCAGCCATCCCAGTTCTCTCAACAGTAGTGGCATCCTGACGCAAAGAGGCCCCCAACCTGACATCCCACCTGAGGTTTAACCTTAGGCAGTCACTCCGGGTGGATGCCACCTCTGCCAACCCCACTGATGCTGCTCCATATAAAACGGGATGGCAGACTGCGTGACCCAATATCCACCTGTGGGGTTCCCTTGGGCTTCACACTAGGCAGGTGCCCGAACGCAGGGGGATGAGTAGCTCCTGTTCCCATCCTGCACCCCAGCAGTTACCCTCCCAACGGGGCCCACAGTCTGCCTCACTTGCTGAGTGGGAGGGGCATTTCCCCTCTCCCCAGCATTTCCATTTATAAGTGACGTTGCCGATGGGTTTATCTGAGGGAAGGAGGACTGGCAAGGCCCACCTCCCCCGAGCCTCCCATTAGAGAACATTAGATCATGTTGGATATGAAAAATAAAACCTTTTATTTCGAAGTTTAAGGGATATTCATTTTAATAGAGGACTTGTATTTCATTTTCTACTGATAATTATCATTATTCATCACTATTAACCCCTGCATTTCTTACATCTGTTCGCCACAAAAGGTTACAAAGAAACACACAACAAATACAAATTTTATTGTTTCATCTGAATAGCAAAAATAATTAAATTCATCAAACTTTCTGAGTGATGAATGTCGTTAATGAGGCGATATTAAATTTTTATGATGGAAAATGGCTGAAAAGTGAAAGATGAGGGTATATAATTCGGTATTGTAGAAAAAAAAATGCATTATATACACGTGTGTGTGTGTGTGCGCAAGCACGCGTTTTACAAAACTGAAAAAAATAGGTTCTGTTTCTTTCTTAAAAGTGAAAACTACTATATAAAAAAAAGCATTGTTAGTAAATCTATATAATAATACCTGTCACTTTATCTGAAGCTTCGTGCACAAATCTAATCTCTATTCTAAGTGCGCATTGAGTGTATCTACTTGTACTTCTACTACTATTTCCATGACGAACTAGTACAAAGAAAAAAAATCAGATTATTCAAATATTCAAACTGTTTGTACGTTAATAACCCAGTAACGGTCACTCGCGACATCCAGCGATTTTCTTTTGTTTTTCTTAATCAGCTGACGGAGTTTGAGTGTGACGTCATCGCTTGGTGTCATCCTCATCGGACACTCGGCTGTACCTGATTGGAGAGATGGAGATAATTGAAGAACGTTTGGAATTAAAAGGAAATGTGCAGAATATTCGACACCTTTCTCTTTCTCTCCCCTTCGCTCGCTTTAATTTTCTGTCTGTCTGTGTTTCACTCTCATTCTCTCGCTCGCTTTCATTCTTTCTCTCTCTCTCTCTTTTCGCCCTCTTTATCTGTCTTCTCTCACGCTCGCTCGCTCTCACTCTCACTCTCACTCTGTCTCTCTCTCTCTCTATCTCTCTCTCTCTTTATTTGTCTTCTCTCTCGCTCTCACTCTCACTCTCTGCCTCTATCTCTCTCTCTCTCTCTTTCTTTCTCTCTCTCTCTCTCAATCACTCACTCTCTCTCTCTCTTTATTTGTCTTCTCTCTCGCTCGCTCTCATTCTCTCTGCTCTCCCTCCCTCCCTCCCTCCCCCCCTCCCCCACACGCACGCACGCCTCACCTGAACGCGGGAAGGCTCCGGCGATTGCCCGACTGCCGCCTCGTTCCGACCGACCCGACACGCTGCTGCTTCCCGAAGGTTCTGTCGGAGAGGGGGAGGGGGAGGGGGAAGAGGGGGGGGGGTTGTTGTGAGTTCATTTTTTATCAGCATTTATTTTTTTTTCGGGTATTCATGACAGGGGAAGGCTAGATCGGTAGCAACTCGAGGAGGGTGTCATGGCGTCTGTTTTGATGATTGTTCGGTGGAAATAGAACCGTTAAAATCATTATTTTATATATATTTTTTTTGAAAGTTGAAAAGACTAAAATTTATCGACCATATTCACAAAGCATCCGTACCTTTGTGACGTCATCAAAATAAACCCCACGTGCTTTTTTTCCCCCAAAATTGAATCAGACGCCATGACACCTCCTCGAGATGCTACTGATCTAGCCTTCCCCATTAATAATGTTAGGGTGTGAGAAGGCGGGGAAGGGGGGGGAGGAACGAAGGAAGGAATGAAGGAATAGAAGGAAGGGAGAGGAGGTGAATGGGAGGATGGAAGGAAGGAAGGGAGAGGAGGTGGGAGTAGGAAGGAAGGAAGGAATGAAGGAGGGAGAGGAGGTGGGTGGAAGGAAGGAACGAAGGAAGGAAGGAAGGGAGAGGAGATAGGAAGGAAGGAAGGAAGGGAGAGGAGGTGGGTGGGAGGATGGAAGGAAGGAAGAAAGAAAGGTAAGGAAGAGAGGGAGAGGAGGTGGGAGGTAGGAAGGAAGGAAGGAAGGGAGAGGAGGTGGGTGGAGGATGGAAGGAAGGAAGAAAGAAAGGTAAGGAAGAGAGGGAGAGAGGAAAGGAGGGAAGGAAAGAGGGAAGAAGGACCGAGGAATAACAATTAGAATAACAGCAACGTTGGAATCCCCTGGACATGGCTGTTGGTTGGGTGAATCAGAACACACAAGAAATACATGGAATACAAGCGATATGTCGACAGAACAGAACGGGAGACAGTCGTAAGTGCGATAATTACGAAGGAAGAAAGGTAGAGAACAATAGACGAGACTAAGAAAGTTGGTAACCATTTATGAATATTAGTTTGGCTTCATGTCCGGAGGGAACAGTATTGATGCACTCATTACCATGCAACAAATTCGAGAAAAAATTCATAAAGAGCAACAGAAATTGTATTTTTGTTTCGGGGATCTGGAAAAAAGGCGTATAACAGGGTACCCAGAGACACTACCATTCGTATGTACTGGTACTATAGAAAAACAAAGGCGTACCAGGAAACCCTAATACATAATATAAGAGCTATGTACAAACAAAAAAATACAGTGATAAGGAAAACATTTACAAACACAGAGCCCTTTCTAGCAGACGTTGGACTACGCCAGGGAAAGGAGCACCAAGACGACACCTTGCACGTATCATAGGAGCCATGATACGTGACCACAAAATGGGCGTAAAGGACAAAGTTGACAAGCCACAGAACATTCTCTAGCAGACACTGGGCTACACCGGGGCTCGGTTTTGGGTCCCTTTCCGTTTTAGATAGTTTTAGATGCTCTCACCACGGAGCCACGAGAAGGGGGAATAGACGAAGTGTGGGAGGTGTAGTTTGCAGACGATCTTGCAATCCTATGGGAGAAACGCCATTGCAGAGAAGATACTCGGGAATAAAAGCTGGGAAAAGGGGAGGACTGAGAAAAGGATGGACGAAAGATGGGAGGTAATGATAAGCAGAAACGAAATACTGCTTAAGAAGATATCAACACAGGCAGGAGATACTCGGGAAGAAAAGCTGGGAAAAGGGGAGGACTGAGAAAAGGATGGACGAAAGATGGGAGGTAGTGATAAGCAGAAAGGAAATACGGCTTAAAGAAGATATCAACAAACAGGCAGGAGATACTCGGGAATAAAAGCTGGGAAATGGGGAGGACTGAGAAAAGGATGGACGAAAGATAGGAGGTAATGATAAGCAGAAAGGAAATACTGCTTAAAGAAGATATCAACAAACAGGCAGGAGATACTCGGGAAGAAAAGCTGGGAAAAGGGGAGGACTGAGAAAAGGATGGACGAAAGATAGGAGGTAGTGATAAGCAGAAAGGAAATACTGCTTATCAAAGAAGATATCAACAAAAAGCAGGAGATACTCGGGAATAAAAGCTGGGAAAAGGGGAGGACTGAGAAAAGGATGGACGAAAGATAGGAGGTAGTGATAAGCAGAAAGGAAATACGGCTTAAAGAAGATATCAACAAACAGGCAGGAGATACTCGGGAATAAAAGCTGGGAAAAGGGGAGGACTGAGAAAAGGATGGACGAAAGATAGGAGGTAATGATAAGCAGAAAGGAAATACTGCTTAAAGAAG